AATGCACGAAAAGGGGATTTATGAAAAAAACCTTTTTAAGACCCCTTGCAGCAACTATTCCTGAGGCTAAAATATGCCAATTATGCTGGACTACGGGAATATTTCCCCATGGAGAATATGGAGGGTGTGCCTCGGGTGACGTAGGACTTATATATTATCATAAATAGGTTGGATACATCTCGGTTCTATGGGTCCTACTCTGACCCCTTATATATATATTATATATATATATAATATATATATTATATATATATAATTGATTTTCAAATAGCTTGTACGCATCTTTATTTTATGAGTTGTACTCTGACCTCCCTGCCTTGCAGCTTCAAAATCTTTGCTGCGGTCAGCGCGTCGCCCGCGGGAATTGAGCCAATGATCATTTTGAGGGGGGGGGGCCTTATAATTAATATCTAATACATAATGGCTAGAATTCTACGTTTGACCAGGGTTGGCCCCCCAATACCCCCTATGATTGTGCTGAAGCACGGAGAACTCAGGTAGTTAATACCACCTTTCGTGACTTCCAAAAATGGTCCGAATATATGTGTGTTTTATATATTATGATTTCGAAATATACTTCGCGCCTCAGCGGCGTGCAATTTTTCATCTATCATCTAGCCAGCAAGCTCCGCACCCGCTGCTTTAGCGAGCCTATTTTTCGACCCCCCGGAGCCACAAATCATTAGAAAAATGCAATCTGTCACGATTTTCTTACCTTTTCACGCACCTGGATCTTCTTTCTTCTGAGGCTTTCTCTTTTCTAATATTTTTTCTTGTTCTTCTCTTCTCTATTCTTCTGCTCCACCTCTGCTTTTCATCTGTCCATATTGTCGGCATTTTGACTTCTAAATTTCCTTCGACCATATTTAAATCCTTAAAGCTAAAACCATTTCACCCTAAAATCTTCTTTTACCCTAAGATCCTTTAATCCTAAAATCCTTAAACCCTAAAATCCTTTAACCCTAAACCCATTTAACCCTAAAATCCTTTAACCCTAAAACCCCTTAACCCTAAAATCCTTTAACCCTAAAATCTTTTAATCCTAAAACCCTTTCACCCTAAAACCCTTTAACCTTAAATTCGTTTAACCCTAAAATCATCCAACCCAAATCTTTTAACCCTACAACCCTTTAACCCTAAAACCATTTAACCCTAAAATATTTCAACCCCAAAATCCTTTAATCCTACAACCGTTAACCGACCGGCTGACAGTGAGGAGGTGCAGGCGGAGAAACTTGAGGCGCGGGGTGTAATATAGGAAAGGCCTGAGTTGCTTGAGTGCAGAGATATATACCTCAAAGAAGAATTTCCTCAGAAACTCATTCTGTTGTGTGTTTGTCCAATCGCTGTCAGTGACTTGACTCTTTTCTTCATATATACTTGCAGTTACTTGCATCCGCTTGCACGCAAATACACATCACGACACATACATCACATCACAACACATTTGCATTACCTTACAAAATGTTTCAGGAACTGATTGCAGTTTGGGAGGCTTTTTGGGTTTCCTCTTCTCCCTGTTTTCCTTGCTACTTGCAACGCATTGGATTTTCCATCTCTCATTTTGCGAGGTGTTTCCACTGTTTTCGGCATTTGGTTTCTCGTTTTGCGCGGTATGTGCGATATTTTGGAACATGGACGTTGGATTTTGCATTTTGAACTTCAACCTGTCGTTTGGCGCGACATTTGCAGCATTTCACCCCCAAAATAACAAACAATTGTGGTCTTCTTGGTGTCACTGTTTTTGGCATTTGGTTTCTCGTTTTGCGCGGTATTTGCGATATTTTGGAACATGGACGTTGGATTTTGCATTTTGGAACTTCAACCTGTCGTTTGGCACGACATTTGCAGCATGCCACCCCAAAATAACAAACAATTGTGGTCTTCTTGTTGTTCTTGCGATCCTTTGCTGCTGTGGTTGTAGTTACCGTGCGTGTTTCTTGAGGTTCTGGTTGTTCTTGCTGCTCTTGCTGTTCTTGTTGTTCCTGTTGGTCTGTGGTTGTTGCTGTGCTTGTGGTAGTGGTTTTGGTTGCAGTTGCGGTTGGTGAACCGGAAATATGAACCGAACCAAACTGAATCGCTCCGATGCCACGTCGATCTTTTTTCAGACCTGAAAACAAGGTTTACCCTGCAGCAAATCAACATTACTATGGAAAATCACCATGTACAGACGGCTCTCTATTTAGAAAACGCTGGCTTTCTACGTAATTGCTTTGCTTTGCAGGGTTTCAAAGGCTTTCACAATAGAGCCCGTCTTGGACTGGCCTGCGCATAGGCATGCATAAATGGCTTCAAATACGCAAACAAAACGCATATTCCCGACATATCCAGAAATTACGGCTACTAGTTGTTTTCTTTATGTTTCTGTTTACGTTTCTTTTACGTAAGGGATAAAATAAGATCTTATTTGCCCAAAATACATCAAAATACCATGCCGCCGTTTGCCTTCTGACGCCTGCTGACAGCGACGTTGCACATACGGTGGCACAAAGCTCCAGCCCCACGGTGTTAGCAAAGCTCCAAGGTTTGTCGTGAAGTGGATGAAGCAAACGAGCAGAGGGGACATGTCCACAACATGATACAAAATGTCCTGGTTGTGGCGGGGGAGAATTTGGACCCATGTTCTGCGAGACAGCCGCGGCGTCAACGGCGTCAAGCAGCCCTCCAGAGTCACCAAGTGCCACGTCTGCCACGCAAACAGCCGGGGAGTCAACGGAGTCAGCTGCGTCAACGGCGTCAAGCAGCCTCTACAGACAGTCGCCAAGTGCCGCGTCTGCCACGCAAACAGCCGCGGCATCAACGGCGTCAACGACGTCAACGATTCAAGCAGCCCTGCAGAGAGTAGAGAAACACCAAGTTCTGCGCCTGCCGCACAAAACAGCCGCAGCGTCAACGGCGTCAACGGCGTCAGCGGTGTCAACGGCATCAAGCAGCCCCAGGCTCACCAAGTGCCGCGTCTGCCACGCAAACAGCCGCGGCGTCAACGGCAGCGGCGTCAATGGCGTCAACGACGTCAACGGTGTCAAGCAGCCCTGCAGAAGAAGTAGAGAGTTACCAAGTTCTGCGCCTGCCACGCGAGACAGCCGCGGCGTCAACGGCGTCAAGCAGCCCTCGAGAGCCACCAAGTGCCGCGTCTGCCACGCAAACAGCCGTGGCGTCAGCGGTCAACGGCGTCAAGCAGCCTCTACAAACAGTCACCAAGTGCTGCGCCTGCCAAGTGAGACAAGTTGATAGAGACAAGTTGATAGAGACAAGTTGATAGAGACAAGTTGATAGAGACAAGGTGATAGAGATAAGTTAATAGAGACAAGTTGGCGGCGGAAGGGAGACGACGGCGGGCGGCCGGCGGCCGGCGGATGACGAACAAAAAGTTGGAACCCCCACAAAAATGAGGGGAAAAATCTACCAAATCCATCCAAATCCCATTTTTCTAGTTATATTTACGTAATATCTTCTACTTCCTTAATAATATATATTATCTATATCTCCTATATCATTGGCATCATCTACTTCTACATCAGATACATCATCTCCTACATCTCTAACACCTACATC